AGGAGTGTATCTACCTGATGTAAATGTTCACCCTCTATGCCTGTCTATTGTTTGCCTGGAAGCCATGGGAGAGAGTTCAATTCCAGACCTGAAGGGTAACCACAGGGCATAGTCTCAGGGTCTCATCAGGCTCTATCAGACCAGTAAACCAGCTCTTTTTTATGATTCTCAGTTTTGTTCCACATCGTTCTCCCACTCTGTCCAGGATCTCCTGCACTGATCTCTTTCCGAGTGATTGATGATGGTAGCCAGGCACCATCCAGTTCTTCTGGTTTCGTGATCACATGGGCTGAGGTTCACATGGTGCCCCAGTCTCTTGGACTAATTGTTTCTGGACATGTTTGGTTTTCTTCATTCATCTTTGTTCTGAACAAGGAGAGACCTGTTGTTGCAGCTATATGGCCACTTGCAAGCTTTTAAGACCCCAGTTACTACGCACCAAAGTAGGCTGTAGAACAATGTTTTTGTGTGGTGTATTATGCCAGTTGATCTTCATGTCTCCTGCGACCATGGTTTGGAGCCCACAGGTCCAACCTCTCGCTCCCTTGGGGTGGTTTGCCTTGTTCATGAAGCTGTAACAACTTTGCTCCTTTTTAGCTCAATTATTTATATAGACTTTCTTACAGTATGTTCAAGTATGTATGTGGAAATACTGTCTGCCAAGCTTACATATGATCATGGGTAAATTCCCTTGAATGATTTCTTTTAGAAGGATCAGCACAAGACTGGTTGCTATGGGTCTAGGTTAAAGATGTCCTAGATGTCCAACTTCTCAAAACTTCCATGCTACTGCATCATCTCTGACATTAACTCTTCCTCCTCCCCTCAGTAATCTCTCTCCCATTTTAGGGTTCCATATTTCACTGTAATGTCTCAGCACTCACAAACTCCCATGAAAGGGGCTCACATGGTAGTGGTGAAGTCTGGGAGACTATAAGGCTGGCAAGTCCCAAGTCTGTGGGTAGGTCTGGAGGATTCCTCCAATCACATGGTTCCAGGGGTTGGTGAACCCAAATCGGTGAGTCAGATGATGGCTACGATCTCAGGTCCAGGGGTGAGATGATGATGAACCAAATGCAGAAACAGAGCAGGAGAGAGAACTTTCCCAGAACACTCCCATATACACCCTCATGGAAGCTAAGGGTGGTGTTTTGAGTCACACCCTCCAGAAAGGCGGGGACTTAAGATACATCCCACCCTAAACAGGGATAAAGACTAGGATTTACCATCCATTATAGAATGGAGGACGAGGCCTCAAAGGGCCATATTAAGCAATTCACTACACTGCACAGTGTTAAGTAAATGTTCCTTGCTCATACTGTCTTCCCTCATGACACACATTTCTCCTTGAGCACCAGGTCAGCTCTACTCATTGGTTTGTCCAGAGAATTAAAGGAAAGATCTTGGGACCCTAGAGAAAGACTCATCCAGGGTCACTATATTGAAGCACTGGGAAAGCAAATCTGTTTAAAGGCCCAGCCCTGTGTGGAGGGAATTACAAATGTATTTGAATAAGTCATGGAGAAAAATTCTCTTGGGTTGATGCAAAAACGACAAGGAGGCCACATGTTCTGACCTCCTCTAATCTCACAAGAGGAAAACAGCAGTAACCCAAGGCCTATTACTGCAAGGCCAAACATGCTGCCTCCCTCCAGCCCTTTCACCAACCATTCCTCCCAAAGCACCCACCACCTCTCTCCTGGGTTCGATAATTCACTGCAGTGGCCAC